AAAAAAAAAAAAAAAAAAAAATTCTTTTTACAAAACACAATTGGGGGGGGGGGGGGGGTGTTACAGGATAATCCTACTGCTGTGAAGCAGAAAAGAATTTGGGAGAGGGGGAATTCCCTTCCTGAGGAAGGAAGGAAGGAAGGAAGGAGGGAGGGAGGGAGGGAGGGAGGACAGTAAGAGAAGGGAGGAAAGAAAGAAAAGAAGGAGGGAGGAGGAGGGAGGGAAGAAGGAAGGAAGGAAGGAAGGAAGGAAGGAAGGAAGGAAGGAAGGAAGGAAGGAAGGAAGGAAGGAGTCTGAATTGATTCTAGTTGCATGAAAGTAAGAAAAGGTCTCAGAAATAGAATTACCCCTGCTCAGAATTTTTGACCCAGCTTTGGAAAATATAAACCTCCCTCTGCCTTCAGTTCCCATATTCTGAATCTTTTAGTGATAAATTCAGGCCAAGGTGTATCACATCCCAGTTTCTGTTTTGTTTTTCTAACAGAAAAAAAAAATACAGGTCTCTCAAGAACAGCCATTTAGTGTCCCCACCAGAAAATACAGGGATGAGAAACACAGGGAATGGGGGCTGGGGGACGGAAGTGGAGTTCCCCACCAAAGAAATGAAACTCCGGCCCATGAAAGCTGCTTTCCCCAGGTCCCAAACATTCACATCCACCACCAGATGCTCACTTCGTTGTAGAACCTCTCAAGAAATCTTACCGCGTTCGTCAGGCGGAGTTGTTTGTCTCTCCTGCGAAGACTCTGTCCTCTCCCGCGGGGTGAGCAAAGTTTAAGAATGGAGGAGGGCCATGGAAAAATGCCAAGGATGACGCTGGAGGCTGGTGCGTGTGGTGTGCTGATGTGCGTGAAAGAGGGAAAGAGAAAGCAATTGCGAAAGGCGGTCGCCTTAGCAATCATTCCGACATCTGGAAATCTTTAATCTTCTGCTGATATTGCACGTTGCCTTTTGAAAGACTTCCAGGGAAAGTTATGGAGGGAGGGGGGCAGTTATTTAACATCCTTCTTTATTTTCTCTCTTCAAGAAATAATCAAGAAAACCTAGAACAATGTAACAACAGAGAGAGATTAGAAAGAGGTACAGAGGATATATAAATGGAGGATATATAATAGGTGACAAATTGGATATATAAATATAAATAAATATAAATATGGATGTAGATGATTTAGAACAGGGTTTCTCAAAGTGTGGTCCAAGGACTCCTGGGGGCTCCCCCAAGACCTTCTCAGGGCCACACAAAATCCAAATTATTTCCCAGACATTGAAGCTATTCGCAAACATTTCAAACAGTGTCGCTCTTCTCATTATTATTTTTTATCGGTGAAAAACATACAGAGCTTTTTCATGAAAAATATTGTATTCATGTTCCTATCTAATGGGCTTAATGTGGTTATTTTTACACGATTCAATAAATACATGTTCTACAAATGCGTCAATTTTAATTTTTAATACAGTAGGCATTGATAAATATATCCCATACAAGCAAAAGCTGTAATGGGGTCCTCCATAATTTTTAAAAGTGGGAAGGGGTCCTGAAAGCAAAAGGTTTAAGAAATGCTGATAGAGAAAATATAGATGATGTTAGATATAAATATCGAAATAATATAGCTGATAGATATAGATATAGACCAGAGACAGAGGCAGAAATAGAGAAGGTATAGATGTACATGATATAGAAGTTGAGTTGTGTAAGTAATGTTGATATCAGTGTCAATGTCAACTGCATCTTGATGGGTCATTTACATGGTCTCATGACTCATGTGATGTCATTCTCCACCCCCTATACCATGTTTCTCAACCTTGGCAACTTGATGATGTCTGGACTTCCACTCCCAGAATTCTCCAGCCAGCCAACTGGCTGGGGAATTCTAGGAGTTGAAGTCCACACCTCTTAAAGTTGCCAAGGTTGAGAAACACTGTCCTATGCAGATACCTATGATCTCTTCTTGAATGAAATTTCAAAAGCAAATAGTCGTTCATCCAGTTGAGTAAGCACTTAGGTGGGGGAAGGGGTGCAGAATTACTTTGCTGAAAACCCTTGGCTGGGTTTTCCCCAATTTCCCTCTGCCAAACTCAGCAAGGGGCCAGCCTGTGTTCCAGAACATTACAATTCAGTCCATCCACTCATGTGATGTCCTTTTACACAACCCATCCAAAAGGAATTCCACTGCCTTTGAACTTATAAAGGCTTCCATCTCATTAAGCCTTTTAAAATGGGGGTGGGAGGTCGATCAACATTTCCAAAGATATAAGCTGTGGAATGTGTTGGATCATTTGCCCCCTTTCACCAGATTTTTGGAGAAGAAATTGGGATCTCACCTTGAATTTGCTATCTCCAAGGCTTAAGCCAGGTTGAGCTAGAGAGGAATAGAAGAAGGTGAACTGAGAGATTCTCCAGATCTTAAAGGATCCAAAGGACCTGCCAGAACTGAGAGAAGTCTTCTTACAATTGCTTTTGAGAATTTTGGGGAGGGGGCAGATGGAAGAAACTCTCTTGATGACCCTGTTTCTAAAGCCAGGCTGATGTCTCCAGCTGCTGAGCTGAGGAATCAATGTTTAAATGTGTAATGACCTGGCCAGGTTTGCTCCTGTCTCCCTTTGAATGTTTTGGGGAAAGAATGAATGCTGTGCTACAATAACAACTTTTAGAAGACCTGATGAAAAATAGTACCTTCTGGAATAAGGTGAGGAAAACAAATTCCAAGCATTTATCAGAAAACAAAGACTCAAAAAAAATTGCTTCTGAAAATTTTAGAAATCTACAGAAATACCCCATCCCCATCCCCGAAACTCAAACTAGGGACACTTGAACTTCAGCTCCCACTAACCCAGATATGGCTTTTCCAAGAAAACACATGTTAGAAGAGAAAGACTCAAGAATAGCCCTCTCGGATCAGAGCCTCAACCCATCTGGGTCAGCCTTCTGGGTCACACAGTGCTCAACTGGATGCATTTGGAAACTTGCACACCAGAGGACCACGCGCGCGCACACACACACACATACCCCCCCTTCCCTTGTAGAAACCAAATTGCTTCCTCTGATTCCAAAAGACTATCTTCTTCAGTCATCCCTATTCTTAGCCACTGACAGCCTGATGGCCATGAATTGTGGTACATCGCCCAGAGTCACTTTG